GCTGAGTGGATAAGAAAACAGGATCCAAATATATGCTGTCTACAAGAGACTCCCTTAGAACAAAAGACTCACATAAGCTGAAAACAAAAAATGAAAAATTTCTGGAGGACTTTAAAGGAGAGATTGATAGCAATGCAGTCATAGTAGGGAAATTTAACACCCCACTGACTTTACTGGATAGATCTTCCAGACAAAAAAATCAACAGGGAAACAGTGACTCTAAATGACACACTAGATTAGATGGATTTAATTGACATTTACAGAACATTTCACCCCAAAGCTGCCGAATATGCATTCTCCTCAAGTGCACATGAGACATTCTCAAAGATAGACCACATGTCAGGACACAAAACAAGTCTCTACAAGTTCAGGAATATTTAAATTATATCAAGCACCTTCTCAGACATTTACACCATGGAATACTATGCAGCTGTAAAAAAGAAGGATCCTTTACCCTATGAGATAGTGTGGTGGGACCTGGAGAGTATTACACTAAGCAAAATAAGCCAGTCAGAGAAAGACAATTATCACATGATCTTACTCATATGTGGAATCTAATGAACAAAATAAACCAATGAACAAAATAGATCCGTAGACATAGAAGCATGGAACAGAGGGAAAGCAGAGGTGGGTGGGTGGGGAGAGATTAACCTAAGAATTTATATGCATATATGCATAACCCATGAACACGCACNTGGGGGGAGGGGGACATTTGTAATACTTTCAACAATATAGATAAATTAAAAAAAAAATCAGGTGCCTATATTTGTGTATAACGATTTCTATTACCAAGAATTAACCAATCAGACACAACCTTATTATGCTACGTGACTCTATTATATGACCTATATATTTATGGTTCAAGACAGGGCATTCACACAGGATGGATACTGTGTTGGCTGTTGTCATTTTTAAATTTGACAGTCTAAGGAAAAGGAGGTCAGTGCCCCTGACTAAATAGTCAGGAATTGCATGTTTTAAAAATTCTTGGGCACAGTGGCTGAAAATCACTGATATAATAAATTCCAATCTTACTAATAATTGATTACATGGATTATAATTTAGAATTTTATGGATTACTTAAATGTCTTCTTGATTTTTTTGGTAAGAATTTTTTTTTGTATGCCAGGTAACTCAGTAAAGCATTCATTTTTGTATTACAATTTTCTATAATTATTCTAGATGTGTCATCCTGATCATAACTCTCAAGAATTATTTCAGGTTAAAATTGCACTCACTTACTTTGCTATAGAAAATATATATTAAGAAAGCTCACACTTGAGTGAACCTATAGTCTCTTAAAAAAATGTTCAGTCTGCCAGAGAACTGACTCTGCTTCCAAACATTTGTGCTCAATATCAGAGACTCTTGGCATCAAACACTGAAGCACATTATTAAGAATGTTTATTACCTTTGTTCCGTACAATTATATACTCAGATTTTTTTCATTGTTGTTGTTTTAATAACTTCTAAACATATAGAAGGACACAGAATAATATAACACACATCCGTGTACTTACCACCCAAATTTAATCTTAAATTTACTTCTTTTCTTCAAATATTTTTTTCATCCTCACCTGAGGATATATTTATTGATTTTAGAGAGAGAAGAAGGGAGAGAGAGAGAGAAACATCAATCGGTTGCCTATGGAAGGAACCCCAACCGGGGATCAAACCTGCAACCTAGGCATGTGTCCTGACTGGGAATCGAACCGACAACATTTTGGTGTATGGGACAATGACCCAATAAACTGAGCCCCCTGCTCCCACGGCTCTTCAAATCTTTAAAGAAACTGAATGTTACAGATATAATTGGAGTCTCTTTGTTTCCCTTCCTCTCTCCTAAAAGACAACCATTATCCTGAGGTTGAGATGTTTTGTTCTATCTACATTTTCATGCTTTTATTTCGGACTAAATTTCATAAATATATGGTAGAGTTCTGTGTGGTTCTTAAATTTTATTGAAGCTATTATTCTGTACATGTGTCATTCTGCATATTGGTGTTTTTCCAGTTTATTAACGGTTTAGACATTTATTCATGTCTGAAAATCTAATCCTTCATTTTGACTGTTACATAAAATTAAATAAGAATATACCATAATTGACTTATCCTTTGTTCTATGTATAAGTATGTCACTTCCAATTTTTGTTATTACGAATAGGATTGTAATGAGCATCCTTGCAATTCTATCTCCTTTTATGCATACATGTGCTAGGTTTCCCCAGAAAATGGAATTGTTAGGTTGAAGTTAGTCAGTTTTACCAACATTGATGGTAAATCAATGACACTGATGTTGTCACACTCATATTTTTTACCAACCCACGGGTATGAAATTACTCTCATTATTTGCACTTCCCTATTATTAGTGAGGTTGAACATTTTTTCTCTTTTATTTCTTTTCCATTAGTGTTTATTCTTCTGTGAATTGCTAGTTTGCAGCTGTTTTTTTGTTGTTGTTTGTTTTTTTAATATCTTTATTGATTTCAGACAGAAGAAGGGAGAGAGAAAGAGAGAGATAGAAACAGCAATGATGAGAGAGAGTCCTTGATCGGCTGCCTCCTGCATGTCCCCCACTGGGGATCGAGCCCCCAACCCAGGCATGTGCCATGACCAGGAATCGAACCTTGATCTCCTGGATCCTAGGTCGATGCTCAACTGCTGAGCCATGCTGGCCAGGCTGCCTGGCACTTTTTTAATGGGTTGAATAAATGTCAGCTATTATCACTGTCAATATTATTTTTCCCACCCCTGCTTTTATGAAAGATTTATACTATTGGCAGTATCCCTGGAGTCCAAATCCACTAGGCCATTTTTTTTCACCCAAGACCTTATGTTCCTGGGCATTCTTTTTTCTTTCTTTTTTGTAAAGTAAAGCTTTATTGAGATATAATTCCATATTATAAAGTCCCCCCATTTAAAGTGCACAATTCAGTACTTTTAGGATATTCACCGAGTTGTGCAACCATCACAATTATCAATTTTAAAACATCTCCAGCAACCCCCTACAAAAAACCCTGTTCCCCTTGCTGCCAACCTCTGACTCCCCATGCGCCTCCTCCCGGGCCCAGGCCCTGGTAACGAGTAATCTACTTTCTGTCTCTATAGATTTGACTGTTCCCGACATTTCAAGTAAGTGGAGCCATATGGCATGTGATCCTTTGTGACTGGCTTTTTTCACTTAGCATAATGTTTTCAAGGTTCATCCATGTCTGTGTCAGTACTTCCTTTTTATTGTGGAATAATATTCTGTTGTAGGGATATATCACTTTGTATTTATCCATTTATCTGTTGATGGACATTTGGGTTGTTTCCACTTTTTGGCTATTATGAATAATGCAGCTGTGAACATTTGTGTTTCTGCATGTCCTTTTATACACACACTCACTCATGCACACACTCACACACTCACACACACGCTCATACACACACTCACACACACACACACTCACACACTCACACTCACACACACTCATACACACACAGTCATACACACACTCACACACTCACACACACTCATACACACAGTCATACACACACACACACACACACTCACACACACACTCACACACACACACACACGCATACACACACACACACGCATACACTCACACACTCACACTCACACACACACACACACTCATACACACACTCACACACACACACTCA